TCTGTCTCTCTCTGTCTCACAAATAAATAAACATTAAAAAAAATGTCGTGGACGCGCTGTGTATGAACTACTTGTCTATTTGTGCCTGTTTCCTCAGCTGTAAAACGGGAAAAAAAACAAAAAACCAACAACAGTAACAAGTCCTACACGGTAGGGGTGTGGTGAACAATGCGGTACCACAAAGCTTCCGTAACTCCTTTCTTGACTTAATATGGGCCCCGCGTGTTTTCACAAAGCAATCCATTTACTACTGAGCCAGGTCAAGGGAAAAGCAGGCCAAGTACCGAACCTACTGAAGGTACTGCTTCCTCGAAAACACAGCGGCGAGGGCTTAGCAGACACGAGCAGCGGGCTTGCGGGAGCGCATCTTCATGGGCGGAGAGGGTGGTGGGCCAGGGAGGAGGGACACCTAAGTGGATGGCCTTCCGTGTCCCCAAGAAGCGGACACTCTATACTAGGCCTATGTTTGCTGCAATATAAGAAGGAGGGTGGGAGAGAGAAGAAAAGAAAAAAAGAAAAGAAGCAGAGGAAGCTATCCTTCCGTCTGAAGAAGTCCACCCCATGCCTCTAAGCCGGCAGCCCATAACTTACGCGTTCGACATGGCTGGCTACTTTCCCTCTTTCCCTCGCCCGCCTGGAAGCTCTTCCTTGTCCCTCCGAGGGGCGGCCGGCTGCAGGGGTCGGGACACCGCCAGGGGCGTCCACGGAGAGGTCCTTCCGGAGGAGGGGGACAGGGATCGGAGAGATCCTCTCACTTTGGGCAGGAAAAGGCGACAACCTGCAGATACGCGCAGGCACCGAGGGGGATTCGAACGTTCCCGTAGCCACCCCGAGGCTCCGGGACCTTACCGTAGCCACTCGACGCGACGCGAGGCGGAACCTAGCAACCGAGACGCTGCGCATGCGTAGTGCCGGCTCACTCCGGCCCGGCGCGCGGCGCGCGCCCCGCCCCCTGAGCTCCAGGCGCCTGCGCTGCTGCCTGGTTTCCGTGGCAACCGCGCAGGGGCGCCGAGGGACGCTGGTCCCGCGGAGGGGAGGTGCCGCCCGGTAGGGAGGCGGAGCTCCCGGAGGGCACCGCTGGGACCTGCCTCCGGGGGCCACCCCGGGTGCCTCCCACCGGCTCCTCGTCCTCCGTGTCGTCTTCCCGCTTTCCTGTTTGCCCCGCTTTCATCCACATTCAGATATGTGGCCTTGGACCAGGTCCTTGATTGTAGCCTCAGTCTCCCATCTGTAAAATGGGATAACAGCCGTTCATTTGTTCCAACCTTTACTGGGCTTCTCTGGGCCAAGCGCAGACTTAGGTTCTGGGGATACAGGACAAGCAGTCCCGTCCTTCTGGGACGGGATGAAAACGAGGCGAGGAGCTAGTGTGTTTTAAATGGAAAATGCTGTGTGGATGTTAGTTAGCAGCAAGTCGCCTTGAGGGTCTGCGTTCATTGCCCTTCTTCCTTCTTCTTTCGGAACTATTGAGATTTATTTGCAAATTCTAGAACCCGCAGTCCCTGCAGGAATATATTCAGGACCAACGCGGCGCCGCGAGCCTGGAGAAGATATCCACCTAAAAATAACAGCCTGGGTCTGGATCACAGAACCTGGCTCCCACCATCGCTAATGAAGTGAACAAAAGAGTCGCATAAATCAGCAAAAGAAAGAAAGAACTAAAAACTTAAGTACAGCTTTGTGCTACAAATGTCAAAAACGGTACTCAGTGAACTAGAAGCCCGCTGCCGATCACAGCATCTGAATCTCATTCCCATTCCGCACAAATCCCTACCAGGGAAGGAAACCAAGTAGACAAAATACCATGAATTTTTGGTGAATCCACAGAGCGGGAGGGTGGGCACAGAAGCAAACCACCAGGGAAACGCAGGGGAGACAAAACTATCTTGAGTAGAAAGTAGCCCCTGCTGCCCCAGGACCCGACCAGAGCTGGGAAAAAGCACTTAGGGCTTGCCACTTTCTAGGCCTTTGCACCGAGTTGAGGCAGAGATTCAAAGTCCAAGGACATTTTTGTCACAGGGACAGGGGAGGCTTCTAACAAGGGTGAGGGCAGGAGTTTACCAGAATCTCACTCTCGCACACAGCCGGGGGGGGGTCAGCCCTAGTCCTCACTGTATGTACATACAGGTCATGGAAACATGGGTAAAAATGCAATCTTCCAGCTCTCAAACTCGTTCAGGTACAGTGAGAAAGCAACCGAGGAAAATCTGTTCACATATTTGAACAAATAGAAGGTTTTACAAAGAGCAACCCATTTTAATATGAACAAGACAGAAGCAGTAAGTCCACTACCCAAGCTGAAGGCTTTCGTAACAGGGGAAGCAATAAAAAAAGAATTACAGTGTGGGCAAGACAGATGAAGAACCTAGCCCGAAAGAAAATGTAAGCAAAGAGAAGAAAATTCGTCACATGTGTCCCAGGTTCTAGAACAAATTAATATGAACATTAACTGAAGAGAATAAGGGCTGAAAGAAATGATGAAACGGCACAATGAGAAGGATTATACAGCTAAGGCAACGAAATGAAAATCAGAAACACCCACCAGAGAAACCAAATTAGAAAGACCAAGAAATAGACTGGGCACAAGTCACCTGAATTACTGACTTACAGGAAAAGCTTGATCAACTGCAGGGAACGTAGTTGGACGTAGAGGGAAAAGACTGCACCATTTAAGCAATTAGGAAGGGGTCAGTTGATATTTCTTTAAAAAGAGTCCTCCGATATTAATTTTTTCCAAGATATAAGGGAATATCTCTGAAATAAGAGAACCAAATCTGCAGATCAAAAGTCCTCACTGTGTCCCAGGAAAAAGGTGTAGAACGACCAACCCCAGAGATATCCTGGATGTGTTATTGAACTTCAGGAGAAGTGGTAGGGGGGATCTGGTGGCCTCACATGTCTCCATGGTGGCTCTCAATGTAAGATGAAAAGGTAGCAACATTTACAAAGCTTTGGGGGGAAAATGTGACCCAGGATATTTCTACTCCCTGAAGGTGATGTTCCCAAATGTGAAAGCCCTCAGGAAATACAGCACTCATGGGTGAATTGACATGTTTTCCAACACAAGTAATAGAAAACCCAACGTCTAATGGCTTACACAGGAAGAGGATTTAGGGGCACCTGGGTGGCTCAGTCGGCTAGGCGTCCCGTTCTTGGTTTCAGCTCCGGTCATGATCTCACAGTTCCGTGAGTTCAAGCCCCACGCCAGGCTCTTCGCTGGCAGTGTGGAGCCTGCTTGGGATTCTCTGTCTCCCTGTGTCTCTGCCCCTCCTCCACTTGCTCTGTCTCAGTCTCGTTCAAAATACATAAATAAACTTTAAAAAGATCAGAGGATTTATAGTGTCCCTTAACAAGAATAGAGGTGAGACAGTTTTAGAGGTGGTCACAAGGGAGGTTTAGAGGTGGTTATTTCAGTGACTCGGTGACATCATCAATCTTTGATGGTTTTTCCATCTTTTGGAGCTGTCATCCTGAAGATGTTGGATGGCTTCCCTCATGGTCATAAAATGTGTGCTGCAGCTATAGACATTGCACCCTCACTCGGTGACATCTGGAGATAGAAACAGGACCGGCCAGGGGCGCCTGGGTGGCTCAGTCAGTTGAGCGTCCGGCTTTGGCTCAGGTCATGATCTCACGGTTTGTGAGTTCCAGCCCCACGTCAGGCTCAGTGCTGACGGCTCAGAGCCTGGAGCCTGCTTCGGATTCTGTGTCTCCCTCTCTGCCCCTCCCCTGCTCATGCTCTGCCTCTCTCTGTCTCAAAAATAAATAAAAACATTAAAAAAAAATTAAAAAAAAAAACAAAAAAAACAAAACCAGAAACAGGACCGGCTGGGAAATGGGACCACCATTACTGCCTTAGAGAAATCGGGAATTACCTGCATTATGACAGACAGAGAAGTGGATAAAAGAACCAAATCGGGATTCTGCCAGCCTGGAAGCAGGCGGTATGGGGTGTTGAGGGGGCCACATTCAGCAGCATAACTCGAGCTCTTCCAGGAAATAAATCACTTGGTGGCAAAACCCAGCTATCAAAAGACAGAAGTCATGTTCAAAGGATGAACAAGCACTCAGTGTGGGAAGATGGGAACAAGGTCTCCCCAAGTCTGCGTAGTAGGAGAACAGATGCGGTTATTCTCTGATTATGTCCCGCGAGCTTTGCAGACCGCTTACTGACCACTTTCTCTCTGGCAGGGACTGTTTAGGACCTGATGTCGATTCATTCACTTAGCCTTCCCACTTACATCATGAGGGGAATCATAATTTCACCCACGTTTTCCACAGGTGGAAACTGAGACTGAGAGGTTAAGTACGTCCAAGACCACAGTGTGTGGACGGTGGATTTGTCTTCAAACCACCCAACAGCCTCACTTCAAAGGCTACACCGTTGACGACTACCATTTTGTTGGCAACAACAACTGTCTTAATGAGGAGTCGCTGAACACCAGTGGTTCTCAACTCATTTATCCTTTAAGAAAACAAACGAACGAACACACCGTTGCTGCCTCATCAGGTAGCTACCGTAGAGAAGGTGACTCTGTCCTCAGTATTCAGTAATTTATGCAGCTTCATGGTCAGACTGCCAGGTCTCTGGGAAAATGTATCTTCTCACATACGCAGTCACTCGGGCAGATCCTCGCTGATGCTCCTTCTGAGCAAAGCGCCATGGTCCCCACCGTGCAGCTGATCTGGCTGTGTTCTGCCTTCAAGGAACAGAGGCGATAACCTTCCAGAAGGTCTCAGACTTCCTTTTCACAGGCTCGTTTCCTGGGGGAACAGCAGGTCTGGAAGAGCCCTCGGACAGTGTCCACGGATCATGTCAGAGGCCTCAAGCCCCAGGACATTCCTGTCTCCTGAGCGCCCCTGCTCTGCCAACACACTGTCGGGGAGAGGGACCCCCCGGCCCTTCTAGAAAGTCCACTCTGGTTGTGCCCAACTCGCCATTATTCCTTGACATCAAGACTCCAGGCCAACCCTTCTCCACCAGAGCAGCCTTGTGAACGGTTAAGCCCCGGTGCCCCTGCCCCGGTCTTCCTGATTCCAGGGCAAGCACCCTCAAGTTCTCTGCCACGGCAAGACGGTAAGCTCCCTTGCGGTCATTCTCTCTGTCACGCTGTTCTCCATCGGTGTCCCTCACACCTAACCCGGTGAAACACAACCTCCCGGGTGGGGGCCGGGGACACTTCATCAACGTCACGCTGTTGACTCAGGCGGTGCTCGCAGCCGACCAAACCTGCAGCCCTTCCTCCGCTCTCTCCTGCCGAGCCCCCCGTGCCACTCAGTGTGTTCCCCACCCCGTCCAGTTCCAGGATGTTCCCTGTGAGAAAGCCAGGGAGCCCGAGCACAGCTCTGGAAACGTGTCAGAGTTGTCGTCCGGTGACGAGTTATAAACCCGCCCGGCCCCCCCATCCTCTCTCTGGCTCACGTGTCTCCTTGTCCTCCATGACACCATGAAATAAGGATTCGGCCAAGTGCATTGCTAACACACAGCTCTGTCATACCTACGGCCTCGTCCTTTTGTACTAGTGCCTTTTGTGACCATGGGAAGTGAGAACCGGGCTTGTCAGCTGAGCCTTGTTTTCTAGGGAACCCAAGATGATAACAC